TTAATTCGTTAAAATATTTCACCTGGGAAATCCTTGGAGATGGGACATCTCGTTTGCGAGGGGTGTCCAGGGGATGTCAATTGACACACACACACAGCGAATCAAAATGCGATCTCCACTTCAAACCACCTGGATTTTATTGGGGCCACCAAGCGCGCATGCGGCAGGCGCTTTATGCTGTGTGTGTGCGTGTGTGGGGCATCGTCGAATTCAACGCCATCAATTGTTGTACTGTACTTCTATGGGCCATCGGTGGAAATTCCTCATTCGCATGGGCGGTGAGCCTGTGAGAAAATGACCACGCCACGCGTTGCTGGCGTCCTAACAAAGCGGTACTCCTCGTTTATCGACCGCGGGGAGGTGGAGGATGATTGGGCTCGGCCTAAACAAGCACGCAATTGCATCGCGGCGCTAATGCGATGGAATGCACGGCGAGCCGCGGGCAACGGCCTCTCAACGCCCCACTCTCGCCGCACACAGACACCGATCGCCTCGGCAACTCGTCGCTTCGCACCCCCACGGCGACGTTGCCCGCAACTAATTCGGTAGAATCGGTCAACGACAACAAGCATTTACGTTGAGGAGACGAGGGGGGCCCTCTCCCGTATTCAACCATTGCGGGTGGGCGGCCGCGAGAAAACCTCGCGGGCGGCCACTGCGCGCATGCGCGGCCCCCGACCCGCCTGCGTTGACCGCCGGCGGACGCGCATGCGCTGTCGCCACACCCGCGGCTTCGGTGACGGTGGCCCGACAATGGCACGGTTGTTGGGTTGGAGGTGGTGAGTGGGGGGGGGGTTAGCGCTCACTGGTTCTGAGGCGGCGCCTCAAGCGGCACGTCCAGCTCCTCCTCGTCGAACTCCTGGCCGTCCTCCTCGCCGCCCGCGGCGGTCGACGACGCGGGGCCGTTGTCCTCGGCCGCGGCGCGCGAAGGCAGCGACGCGGCGAGGGCCGCCATCCCCGCCGCCAAGCGCGAGTCCCCGCCCGGGCCGCCGACTTCCGCCATCTTGGTGAGGGAGGGGGTGAGGGGAGTGGGAGGGTGGGGGGAGGGTGGGGGGAGGGGGTGGGGAGATTCCAGACCAGAGCGGTGGAGCGCCGAGCGGTGCGGGCGCATCGATCGCTCGGTCGCTTTCAGGGAAGAGAGGCGGAGCGCCGAGTGTATCGATTGGGGGGTGGGGGGGGGTAGACCCATCCCTACTCTTTGCCCACTTGAGCTATTATTGTCTGGCTGTGGTTGTGCCACCTGGTGATGGACGCTTGTGTTGCGCCCGAAACGTCGTGATTTTTTAAATTTTATTTTCACCTACGTGACTTTACCGAAAGAACCAAAGAGTATGGATCCTTGCAGTCAAGTTCAAGTTCAAGTTCATTTATTAGGTATAGCCCTGTGAGCCATTCAGCTCTTGAATCGGGTGCAACCGCAACAAACAAAAAACAAAAACATGAACAAAAAAACATCTTAAAGTGAATATGTGACTAAGTGCAAACAGAAAATCCAAGAAAAGACAGCAAAAATATTGCAGAAAAAACACCGTACACCAACGCTGTGTGCAAAAATCCCAGTGGGATGCAAGTCAAACAACAACAACCACAAGACAACTTAGATTAAGGCCATCAGTCTAACTCTGTACTACAACAACACAAACATGGCTAAACCAATACACTTTTCGAAATCACCAAAATAAAGCCATGAAGGCAATGAAAAAGCAATCATAGGAAAACTTCAAATCTAGAATCAAATCTAGAACTACACAACGACTTTGACACTGCCAAAAGCCTAGAGCGTGCGGACCTGCTGTATTTGCACAGTGCCACCTCGCGTTGTGACCTCGTCTCTCATCACAGCCACGGGCGCCTTTTTAAATCCTTTATAAAGTTCACTTGCTTGCTTGCGCGCTTACGACCGTGCAAATCTTTCGGTCGTTTTTTAACCCACTTCCCGTGATCCAATCGAGCTGACATTTTGCACACAGACTCGTTGTGCGTGACAATTTATTGTCGTTTCCAAAATTTTACACTTTTTAGGTAAAAAAAAAATAATTACCAATTGCTTAATGGTGGCAGGCAATCATCTGACCCATAGGTGGCAGCCATCTCAAGCCAGAGGACGAGAGGACTCTAGCCGCCACGCATATAAAGGATTTATAGTGAAAAACTTTGTTCTTACAGGTTAATTTTTTCACCACCCTGAATGGGTCACAAACGGCGTGGCTACAACACTAGAAGCTGATCGCAACGATTCAAGGGAAATTCTCTCACATGGAGGACGCCTTCACAGCCACCCCGAGACACATCATACCGTGGCGTTGCAGCGGTTTCTGACATGAACTTAAAATGTTATCTTCATTAGGCAATTCACGTTGAAAGAATCATACTTAAAAAAAAACACAAAACAATCTTGACTTAAAGCCTTCGTGACGGCAGGAATTCATATTATTTGGGTGTTTCGGTAAAAGTCACGAAGAAAGGTTGAAAGAAAAGAAAAAAAAGAAAAAACTACGTTGTTTTGATCACAACACAAGCGATCGTCATCAGGAGAAAAGAGGGGGAAAGCTGCTGATGCAGACTGTTTTAAAGGTTTCAAATGGGTGTAGCCCAAGGGTCATAAACGAAGTGGGCATGGCTAGTAATGTTAATGTGATAAATTAGCATGTTAATGTGAGAGATTAGCATGTTAATGAGAGAGATTAGCATGTTAATGTGAGAGATTAGCATGTTAATGTGAGAGATTAGCTTGTTAATTGTAGGATTGCAGAGCCTCTGCCGCGTTGGCGCGCGAGGTGGCTGTGTTAGTGTGAGACATTTAACCTGTTAATGTAAAATCATATAACCAAAAATAACATCGGAAGGTAGGGTGGGAACATCACAGCCAGTTGAGATTGAAACTGGTTAATAACGTCCTTCCAATGATTGCTCAGCTTGTACCCATCTTCTCGGTTGGAATTGTGTCTGTGGTTATAAATATGGATGGCTTCATGAACGAATCTTTGTTGATAGCCAGTGGGTTTGCAAAGTACCTTCTTCTTGGAGAAATCTATTTTGTGAGCCCACCGGATTAAAACAATGATCAGCCACGGCCGAGGTATTGGTCCTAGCGTGTTTCAGATCTGCCTTATGTTCACGAACACGGTCCGAGACATGTCGCTTAGTTTCCTCAATGTAACTACTGCCGCAGACACAGCTTAGTTTGTAGACGCCGGGGAATTGCATGTCAGGGATATTGTCCTTCACAGATAGGATCAGATCACGAATTGTATGTACTGTTAAATCGAACCTGGATCTTGTTTGCTCATGATTTTGGAAATATTTTGGTGACCCCTGCCATACATAGCAGAGACACATAGCCTGACAGAGACCCACAGACTCGCACAGAGACCCACAGACTCACAAAGAGACCCACAGACTCACACAGAGACCCACAGACTCAGAGACCCCATAGAGCTGCCTCGAGTTTCCCACCGTCTGCTCTTAGGTTTCCCCTCCCCCTTGACTCATGTAAACCACTCGAACTTGTCTCTCCGACCACGTCGGCAACACTCACCTGCCATGTCTATGGAATGACAGTAGAGTCAGCCTGCAGTGCGAAGGGACTAGTGGTCACGTGAGGCAATGACAGGGGAGTCAGCTGAGTACGAAAGGGACTGGTGGCTACGGGAATGATCGAGAAGGGAGCGTGGTCAGGTGACGGAAGAGGACGGTGAAGTCGACCGGTGGAGCATCCAGTCAGCGAGAATGATCGAGAAGGGGGGCGTGGCCTCGGTCGGTATATAAGGGGGAGATGTGCGGGAGACTCGGGGCTGTTGCAGTGACGTCTCCACCTGTTCAAGTGAACGTGTCCTCAATAAATAAACCATCTCAAGAAAAGTGTGTCATGTCGTCTTTACATCCGCAACACTCACCTGCCATGTTTTCTTCCCAACCTCCAAGTTGCTTAACTTATCCTCCCCCGTCCTGCACACGTGCCCCACCCAGCGCAACTGATTTTGCCGAATCCATATCTACAACTCACCTGCCCCATGTCCTCCTCCGGAACGTGTGGCTTCGCACGTCTTGACACGACATTCCTCGCATCTCCCAGTTGTAATTATCAGATGCCACTCCTGCACAATTGCCACACGTCGAGCTGAACACCCGAGCTTTAGTTGATATGCTTTGGCATTTTTCATCCCCAGAAGCTTCAATACAGACCTCCTCCGCCTTGGAATTGCTCAGAATGCTTTGCCTATCCGTGGCCACGTCACAGTTGCTGCCAGACACTGCCACCAACCACCATCAGGACTCCAAACGTGCGATGCTCCGTCATTCTTTTACGACGGTCTCATCGAACACGCACTGGGTAACCTTAAAGCAGTGGTTTTTTTTAACATTTACTGCAGCCTGCACCTCCTGGGGGTGCCTGCATGCTCGGCTCGTTTCTTGCGGACCTGTGTCATTCCACTGTTAGATGAAAGCCATCGCAAGCCACGTCAAGTCACAGCGATCGTTTTGACGACACTTCACCATTGCTGATCAATGCGGGTTGGCCAAGGAGGGAGCCAAGAACCGGCTCGGATATCGATGACGGCTGTGACCACGGGATCAGTGCCGGATTATCCTCGTAGCAAAAGTAGCAAATGCTACGGGTTCTGCACTTTCAAGGACCCCCCGCTCCCCCCCGCGCTAGATGCTTTCAAGCTATCAATTCCGGTTCAGTGATTCTACACATGCTCTATTACTATAGTACTATACCGCCTTCAACTTTTATGAACGACTGGGTGTTTAAGGTTAGCGATTTGTCATATCATCTGGCCATATAGCAAATGAAAAAATATTATTACTTTAATATGCAAGTTAAAAATGTCTTTTAATATTTGTAGTTTCTATTTTATTTAGGGCCCCTTTATCACATGTGCTACAGGCCCCGCACGAGCTTCATCCGGCACTGCACGGGATCAGTCCTCCCATCGTCGTGCCCGCACCTCGCGTGGCCCCGCGTGTTTAACACTCGACAGACGAACAGAATCTCTAAATGCATTGCGTTTATGGGGGGTTTCTTATGAACAGCATCGTGGACGAATCGTCGCGAATTAACGGCGCAACTGAACAGCCCTCGCTCGCAGCGTCAAGTACCATGGCGAGGTGTGGTATCACGATGCAGCTCGCCTCTTGTTCGCGTAGGTCAGAGTATTTGCAGATGCCCTGTATCAATATCATGGAACCTTTTTGCCAGTATCAAAAGTATTACAAATAATATGTTTAACCCTTGCTGGCAATAAAACAGGTCTTAAGATGTTCAAACAAAATAGATACTCTTTGCAATGAATGAAGTCTGCATTAACCACACGTACTTGTAGTGAACATGTCAAAAAACATGCTCTGATGAAAACGTATGCATGTTTAACACTGGTGAGACTTAAAAGAAAATGCACATGTTAACAGCATGTCTGTTTGCATGTTCACCACATGCACGTGTGGTTAATGCAGACTTTATTTAATCTTTGCAAAGGGTATCTATTTAGTGTTTGAACACCTTACCACCTGTTTTAGTGCCAGAAAGGGTAAAACTAGTTCTTATTTTTCATGCCCTGTACCAACATTAACCGGGAGACAGGGAACGAGGATAAGGGGCAGAACCCCCGCAGATTTGACGGCAGCCGGATTCGGAGGGGTGGAGAGAAAAAATTGTCGTTTTGGCCGCCTCTTTTGTTTTTATTTTCTTGACGTCAGCTGTTTCAGTTCTACCCCTCTCTCCTTATCATCCCTTCCCCCTTAAAAAAAAACTAAATCACCATTTCCCCTTTCGGTGGGACCCTGCATGGTTTGGGGCAGCGAGGCCGTTCCCCATCTTTCCACCCCCCTTGTTTTTCATCACCGGCTCGGCTCACGTTGACGGCACCTTGCACTCGTGCGTCACGACGCGATGTATCGGACCCGCACATCGCCTCGATATGAATGATTTTTTTTAAACATTCACAACCGGAAACCATGCATCCGGCGCCCAAGTCGGTTCCTACGGGGGGGGGGGGCCGAGCTCTGCACCGTATTGTAACATTAAGCGAAATGCACGAGCTGAAGACTTGTGCGACCGATGTGTGCTGTTGAGGGGTGGGTGGCCCGAACCACGCTCGGCCGCCTTTGTCTCCCCAGCGACGATGTCTACACATCGCAACCACGTACTAACTTCAGGCTCAGTCGACCTAGGGGGGAGGTCCAGGACCGTCTCGGATATAATCGTCACCGGTGCCGGCCCTGAGCGGGAATCGAACCTCGGGTCGCCGGGTTCGTAGCGCAGAGCGCTAACCGCTACACTACCGCTCCCCCCATACCACTGCCACCGACACCGCCAACAACAACAACAAGACGACGGAGACCAACGCTGTGACACGTGCGTGCATGTCAGGCGCGCACGGCGTGAGCGACAGCCACGCGTGGAACGAATCAAATGTATATTTTTGTTACATACTCTTACGTTGTTGCGGCCTTTTTTTAATGACGAAAATCCCACCTTTGCTTGCATTGGCCCAAAATTTCACATTTAAATTCTCGTTGCTAAATTACCGCAGTACGTAGGATGTCCTCCTGCCGCTGGGTATATTTTAAAAAACACGAAAATTAAAGTGTCGCTCGTATCGATTGCAGACTCGTCAATACTGCTGGGATCCTGGCGGGCTTACGGATTTATAAACGAACCAACGCGCCGTGGTAGAGCAAAGGGATCGCAAACCTGCAGCTCTTAAGGACCGCTGCGTTATTTGTAAAGGACCCACCCCGTCTCGTATTCACCACAGCGCATTGCGGGCCTCTTGAAATATTGGGTTTATTACAGGAATTCGAAAAGAGAAAAGGCGCTTCTGGTTATTTTGGTTGCAGACTCCTCCCGCGCTAGACCAATTCTAACATTGAGTGAACATAATCCATAACCGTCAACCCATACGGGTTACCCGTATCCTTGCACAGGGAACTTTAGCAAACAAAAAAGTGTATTTTTGTGTTTCTCTCTTGTGATGGGACTTTGTGGGATGAACGTTGAGATTTATAAGGGCACAGGGTGACCAATAAGGTCCGAGTTGGTCTGTAATAAGGTAGGGCACTGACAAGGGGTTGACAGGTATGAGAATCATAGGGGCACGATCCACCACTGGATCCGAGTTGAAAAGCGACAAGAGCCGTTTCCTGCTCCGTTGAACACTCGGGCATCGACGCTCACCTCCAATGGAAATTCCACATTACTACGGCAAGGTTGAGTCTCTTCAGAGGACAACCAATGTGGACACCGGAGGTCGGGATAACGATGATTCGTGAGTCCACCCCACACACCCCCCTCCCCCGCCAACCAGGGTTTGAACTCATGACCTTACCGATTGAGAGCCGCTCACTCAACCACTGAGCCACCCCGGCCGGATCCTGGATTTCGGTTGTGAATGTTAATACAGGGCCTTTGCGAATACTGACCTCGCGAACAGGAGACAAGCCGCAAAGCTATACCACGCCCGGCCATTCCCCATCAACATTCCCAACGATTGTGTGCGTTATATATTAAACAGATGGGCAACTGCAATGATAAAGGTCCATGTCATGAGCACGATTTTAATTCACTAACAGTTTAAACTACGAAGGTAAATTGCACTTAAATTTTGTCTTTGGGAGGGTTCAATTATTATGTTTACGTCGAATACACGAGCGATGGTGGCGCTTCACGGTTTGGTCCTGGCAGGCCGCCCTGGCAAATACTGCGGTGTTTCTCATCCGCAAAATACTAGGTGCCGTCCGCTTCACTCACAGTGGATGTTAAATATCCCCTCGAGTTACGTCACATTAGAAGAAGCGTAGGCCTTTGCGTACCAGCGTCATGGGGGCAAAATTTGCCTAATTATAAAAATACAGCGCAAATTTACTTATTGGGGAAAAATACAGCAAAATGTTGCCCCCTACAGGAAGAAACTTGGCAGGACCCTCCTGAAAGAGTCTGAGACTCGGTGAGGCTTTCCCGGGGTAAACAAGCGTAACAATAATACAATTCGTATTTGCATGTCATTCATGTGAATCAGACTATTCACGTTCCCATAACACAGTACAGCAAACCTACACCCAAGTAAACAACACAGGGTTATGGGGGGAGGGGAGACAGCATTTCATTATCCTAACGACGTATGCGCTGCCAACATTTAAAACCACGGTTTCCTAAACTCTGGTCCTCGCGACCCACCACCACGCTCTTGTTTCTTCCGCGTTCACCAATTCACCCCCCCCCCCCCCAACCCATTCAAGTAGGATCAGGCCATGTAGCTATCTGGCCAAATGTGTCGTTAAGGCCCCTACACGACTGGACATGGCCAAAACTGGATTAAATGGTCATGTGTACAACAATATTTAGCAAAGTGAGAATTGTTCTTAAAATTAACAGGTGAGCGAGTGAAACGATAACAACCGGTGTGTCCTGAAGCGCTTGTGCACCACGTATCAATTCAATGTTTGGCTGTGTCAGATGGCAGAGGGATCTTATCAGCACAAATGACCCGGTCATTACGTGGCCTAAACCAAATAAATCAACTGTGAATCGTAACATTGGCTACGAAAGCCTCCGTGTTCAGTGAAGTTCGTTGTCACAACGACTTCAGCGAACGATGTCGCCGTGTCCGTAATGACGAACTGAACCCAGCTTTGTGCTGGGACGCCGTAATGTCTCCTTCGACAATCTCTCCCGCCATCGCGACGGGAGAGAGAGAGACGTTGATGGCGAGGACTCGCGAGAACGAGTCTCATTGGCTCTAGCGGCCCGGAACGGAGCGCGCTGTAAACGCGAATCGGAATGCTCAAAATTAAATCGGTTGGAGCAAGGATTAAATCTCCCACTCGATATTTTCGGGATTGCCGTGAGGCTGCCTCGGAGCAGGGACTATCGGCATAAGGCACTATGACTAGAGTACAACGTACGCATATCCATCATCATCATCATCCTAGATTGGAATACAGTGATATATTCCATATTCTCGTCATCGTACAAAAAGGTGTTACAAGCAGCGCGAGCACAAAATAAGGCGAGATGGATGGATGTGGCGCGCAAAAATAATTCCCAGAACAGCATTCTGCTCATAACCCTCGTAAAAGCATTTGCGTTAAAGATTTCAGCACAGAGATCTGCAGCGCCAGGCGGTGCGGGAAGCGGACGGATCTTGCTCTTGTGACACCGCCGATAAGAAGCAAATTGCAAGCTCAGTATCTCCACACAGCAGCAGGGTTCCCTTGCACGAGTATGTTACAAAACCGGGACCGGACGAAGCGGCCATCGTCGCGCCCTGCTGGCGGACTGACACCCGCTTGCAGGGCAGGTGCTGGTGCAGAGCTGCCGCTGGGGTGCCCCTTTCAGAATGTGCCGAGACGACAACATGCTATGCAAGTCGCTTATCACGTTGTTAAAGCGCTCCGATATGCAACGGCGTCAAGAAGGGCAGCACGTGCCGCACGTCTCTGCAAGAGGCCCAAATCCACGAAGGGCAGCGTCTCCTGGTTCGATGCGCGGATGCACTTCCCATATTGGTCTCTCCATATGTAAAAATGTCATCTTTTTTTCTTCACTACACAGCCCATTAGTCTTACACATCCCACGGCCTTCCTTCTGGGAGGGATATATTCTCAGCAGTACTGCTTAAACAGGTTTTGACATCCAGTGTCTCATCAGCAGTCAGGCCGGTGCACTGCCGGATATTTATAGGCAAGGGCCCTCTTTCTGTTAGATATGAATCCGAATTCATAATGCAAAAAGTTATTGTTGGGGTCGTTATCGTGGCTGTTTGGGCGATGCGCGTGCACAGCCGAGCCGATCGTTTACTCTGCCAAATCGCCTCCCTTACTCCCGAGCGGCAGCGACGGTGGGGGCAACGTGGTCAGATTCGGGGAACGTGCAATGAACGTTTTGGGAATAAAGGAGAACGCTGCACCGCGATGCGGGGCGATGCAGCCGCGCCGCGGCGCATCGGGACAGGAGACGCGATCGCTCGCCCGTGCATTCCCGGGGCCGTTTTCGAGCGTTTGGGAGCATGAGATCGGCGGTTGCCAAGCGGTTACGACAGTGCCAGCGAGGCGAGATTAAACTGTTAAGCGCAAGCGGCACAGAGCGCTCTGCTAGTGTCGGCTCGACGCGGCTTCAGTTTCATCAGAACGACGGTCGCGCCCAAAGACGCGCCCATGGAATCGCGAGTGGTAAGTAACTGGCGGCCGTTTGGTGCGTTAAGAACGAGCTGCTATTAAATATAAACACGAATTTTGTCCGAATAACAAATTCGCGGTCGCGCGATAGCCGATGATGGCCCGCACGTAAATTAGAAAAGTCCCGTTTGGTTAAAAATCGCATTGCTAGCGAACAGCGTAAAAAAAATCCCGCGAGAATCTACGTCGCTGCTCTTTCTCTTTTCCCGTACAAAAAAACGGGAGGGGCCGAGGGTTAGAAAGAGTCTGCAAAACGTCGAGGCCTCATTCCTTTCGCCGCGTGAAAAGTACGCTCTCCACAGCTTGCGGGCCCCCCCCACCCCCAGCGTCCGAAGCGGGGGCGGCGATGGTGGAGGTCGCGGGGTCGGCGCCGTCGTCGCCGCGCGCCGTCTCAACGTCGCCGGCGCCTACAGCAGGGCGCAGCGGAAGAAGCTGCTCTTCTTCGAGTGCGACGCGTTCGTGATCTGCACCGAGTTGTTTTCCGCCGCAGTGTTCCCCTCCTGCGGAAACAGAACGACAACAAGGAGAAGCAGAATCCGTCGGCGGCGTCAGTGCGGTGGTAACCACTCGTGCCTCGCAGCGCGAGAACGTCTGTTGTGTCTGTAAGGGCGTGCGTGTGAGAGTGTGTCTTTGTTCTGCACAGTGCGCGAATGTGCGTATGGGAGCATAAGTGTAGCGGTAAGCGCTACACTTATGCGATGAACCCGGCGACCCGAGTTTGATTCCCGCTCACGGCCAACACCGGTCACAATTCTATTAATCGATTTTGGGCCTCCCCTACGTCGACTCGGCCTCAACCGAGTAATTATCGCCACTTGCTAGACAAAGGAGGCCGGGTGTGGTGCCAGCCACCCACTCCCACGTGTGTGTGCCGGCCTTCATAGGTGCTCGCTGACAGCACTGGCTCCAAAAATCTGTTCCGGCTGTACGGGGGATCTTTGTCTTCTTTGGGCATGCGAGTGAGTGGAGTTTGTATGTTCTCCCCCTGTTCTGCATGGGTTTCCCCCAGGTTATTCGGTTCCCTCTCATAGCTAAACACACACCCACAATGTAACCGGTATCGGTACAAAACATCCCAATGCTGATATATCACCTGCAAATTACGCAACTGGAATCGCACACAGCAGCAGCAACAACATTGCATCCTACTAGGAACATTTGGCAGGACCGTCCTTAACAAAGGACTCTGCCGAGGCTTCTGTGGGTAAACACGTGTAATGATAACATGCAATAACTATAATAATCATGTAAAGTAGTATAGACTAAACAACACTCACCATCTTTTTGTCCATTTTCGCTTTGATTTCTCTGGCCAGTGTAAAAAACGCCTTATGGGACAACAAAACAAAGGGATGCGGACGAGAATTAAGTAAGAGAGAGATAAACATTCCTGCAGCGTACATTCAATTACCACTCCCGAGTGACATTTATAAATCCAATTTGAAATACAACATATATCATTATACACATTCGTAACCGTGGCAGTAACACGACCACATTTCTAAGTCCCGGGTTGGTGGTCTGAACAGTGATTCGGTCACACGTTCGGCTATTCCGAGATGGTCTAGAAAAGGCTGAGAGCATTGTACATGCAATGTGGTGGTCACATGACACGAACACAGGGCACACGGATGGGAGTCGAGCCGCCCTGCCGTTGGTGTGCAGCGCACCATCGCGTGCTGCTATTTCGAAACAAACTTTAACTTGAAAGTAACCACTCGTGGCTCAGTGGTAGCCACTTGTTGCAGAAGTTCGAATCTGGCAGACCACCCTGTTAAGCAGAAGATATTATGCGCGTGGTATTTCAAAACGAGTAGGCCACTGTGTGCCTGCGTTACGGTTCAAACTAGCCAAATTAAAAACATCACACCTCCTGGTGGACTAATGCCCTCTCGTAAGCCAGGTGCCTCGTCACCTTGTGTCTCGCACAGAAACGACAGCTGCCACTGGGGGGGGTGCCCCCTTTCGTAGTGTGTTGAGATGAAATGCAAGATGAGATGTAAACGAAGCGGGATGCAGCTCCATGGATCACACAAACTCAATTTCGTTACGTCGCCCAACTGAATGCCACAGAGACTGCGCCTGCCCCGGCACAGAGCACGCACGGCACGGCACGCGCATCGAGGTGTCTTGGCGCGTTCTGCCGTTCTGCGTACCTCCTCCACGTTGATGCTGGCCTTGGCGCTCGTCTCCATGAACTGGATGTTGTAGTCCTCCGCCAACTGCGGAGCAAAGATGTCGAGAGCGCGTCGAGCCTCCCGTTTCAACAACACCGCGATGGCCGAATTCCAACGGCCAAGCTCGCGATGAAAGTGAAGAAGATACGGGCACAGCTATCGGTCGCGGGGACACCGCAACGGAGGAAACAGAGTGCGCGAACCTAGGGCGGTTATTGAAGGCGGCCCGGGAGCAAAGTGATGCGAATAAAGAGACGGCAGTGAGCAGGGTGTTGGTGGAGTGCCGATGGAAAAGTAACGGAATGGGCCTAACCAAAAGGGCGAGTGATCGGAGTGCGGATCCGAAGCTCCGACAGAGACGATGGGAGATGGAACAAAAAAAACAATTTCGGAGGATTTCTAGGCGGCCAAACGAGATCCCACTGGGTTCGGGGCACGGGTGATTTGTCACCTGTGAATAGTTGTTTAGCCAACACCAGTTACATGGTGCGGGGTTTCAAGCTGCGAGAGGAAATTGGAGAAGCCAGAGGAAGCCCATGCAGAACAGGGAGGGAATATACCAACTCCACACAGGAAGGCACCCGAGCTGGGAATTGAACCCAGGCTTTTCTTGCTACGAGGCACAGGTGTTTCCACTGCGCTGCCACCACTCCGCTGCCCCCATAATAGCGTTGCTGAACAGGGCGATTTGATTATCACCCCTGCACAAATCAAGTAACATTTCACCAGCGTTGGGACAACCTTCGGCCCGTGACTTCATTTCAAGCGGCTCATAGCCACACGAGGGAGGAAACCGGAGAGTCCGGGAGGAAACCCACGCAGACCAGGGGGAGAGAGAGAACACACAGACGCCACAGAGAGAGAGGCACCCGAGTTGGGAATTACAGTCGCTTCCCTTGAGCTGTGGGCAGGGGAGAGGAAGAGACAGGGGAAGGGGGTCCATGGCGAGGAGACGCACGCTCACGTAGCGCGGGGGGTGGGGGGTGGTGACGGGGGGTCGTGGCTGCATCGAGAACCGGGTCGGCACGTTACGGGCCCAGCGGCCTGGCGGCCCTAGGGACGCCGCCGTCGCGTACCTTCTCGCCGCGTTCCTTGGTCACCTGCCGCCGATCGTTCATGTCACACTTGTTGCCCAGAACCATCTTCTGGACGTCCGCCGAGGCATGCTGGGAGAGAGAGCGAGAGAGAGCGTGTGAGTGAAAGTGAGGGAGAGAATGTGAGCGAGAGAGAGCGAGAACGAGAGACAGAAGAAATGCAGTGAGACAGATTTTTTTAAAACATGCCAGAAATTCCGGCGCTCGCCAAGTGAATGCGGCCGGCTCCAGCAGCAGCTACACAAGCACCAACAGAAGCAGCAACAGCAGCAGTAGCAGCAGTAGCAGCAGTAGCAGCAGTAGCAGCAGTAGTAATAGCAGCATTAGTGCTAACAACAGCAATAGTAAAAGCAGCAGTAGCAGCAATAGTCGTAGTAGCAGCCGCAGTAATAACAGCAGCAGTAGTAGCAGTAGCAGCAGTAGTAACAGCAGTATTAGTGCTAACAGCAGTAGTAAAAGCAGCAGTAGCAGCAATAGTCGTAGCAGCAGCAATCATAGCAGCAGTAGTAGCAGCCGCAGTAATAACAGCAGCAGGAATTAGAAGCGAACCTCCTCGATGTTTCTGATCCAGTTCTTGATGTTCTCGAATGACTTCTCGCTGGTGATGTCGTACACCAGCATGATCCCCTGGCGGGACGACAACGGCGCGCGTGCAGGCACAGCCGGGGCGCCAAACACACGGCGGCGACGCACACGAGGAAGAACAATCAGGCACGTGCATGGATTCCATGACGCTCGCGCTCCAGAACATGTGCGTCCTTGGAAGAATTTCAAAAGCGATAACGACGACGGTTACGATCTCACACCAGGCTCGCTGGAAGCGGCATGCCGTCCCCCCCCCCTGCCCCCCGTAGGCCGGTTTTCGGTAAGTTACAGACGAACGGACGGGGGCCGGTGCTTTGACTCTAATCGACCAGAGCTGGGAAAGCGTTGGGACCCCGGCGATGCGCAGCGCAGCCGTCGTAACGAAAACCATCAGGCGGCTGCCACTACACGGCCCAGCGGTGGGGGGCACTTGGGGCAGAGGTTCGTGGTTCCACACCAGCAGACCGCCCTGGTTATTACTGCGGTGCGTATTTTACCCTATTGACTCTAACGCGCTGTCTGCTTCACGGTGAACAATAACGATCCTGTGGCATCATTCTATAAACGAGTAGGAGGCCATCGTATGCTGGCGGTGCGGTACCGGTACAAATCTAAAATAACGAAAAATGACCGTGTGAATTACTCAATTGCCATTACACACAGCCGCAATCATTGCCCCCATACTGTGAAACGACACAGCAGCACCTTCCTGCGTGATCATCGCCCCACGCGGAAAACGATAGCACCGATATAAAGCGCTCTCAATTATTATTACGAATTAACCAGGAGATTAAATTAAAACACATTGAGACGTGAAACGTCGTCTCCATTGCAAGGGCAACCTGGGTGCTTAAGGCATGAAACAAGTAAGTAAGCACACACGCGCTCACACACACACACACGTACACACGAACACGCATACACACGTACACACGCATACACACAAGTACACACACACACACGTACACACACACCATTGCTCCCCTGTAGTACGCCGTCGTGATGGTACGAAACCTCTCCTGGCCCGCGGTGTCCCTGCAAGAAATTGACCACAGTTACAAAGATCCCTCGTATAGCCTGAACAGACTGTCAGAGCAAGTGCTGTTAAGCAAGCGCCTATGAAGGCCGGCCATGCACACGAGGGGGTGGGTGGCCAGCACCACACCCGGAGTAGTTACACTCACCGACACACAGACACACGGTCTCACACACTCATAGACACACAAATAAAAAGATCCCCCATATTGCCTGAACAGACTGTTGCGCTACGTGATGTAACGACCACCTATAAAGGCCAGAACGGCACATAAGAGGTAGGTGTGTAGGTGTGGCAAAAGCCACACCCAGCTGCCTTTGTTTCCCCAGTGCTCGTGTTTACACAACAGACCAGGTACTCGCCTCTAGAGTGAGTCTAAGAGCGAGGTGAGCAAGGTAAAGGTGCAGCCCCGCAGTTGCCTCCTCACACCACTGCTGGCGGAAGGGCCTACAACACTGGAGCAGTGGTACTTGGCCTACTCTTCCACGTTTACCAGGTGTGCTGGAAGAGGCGTACCCACACTTTACCCCATCACACAGGAACTACTGGTCAACTGCGCCCATCACCCATTTACACTGCTTAACTGGACACCTGTAAAAAAAATATCTTTATAGCTCATCGGATTCCTCCAACACATAAAAATAAATACACGTATTCTGATTCTGCTGGGCGGACAGAGGAGGTGTGGCGGGAGTTAAGAAACTCGCCCCCAATGTTTCAACTGCCGCGTTGCCGGGAGATGGAATTGAAACGGCGGCCTCTGGATCGCAAGTCCAGTGTGCTGCTGACCGCTTACTCCACCGTGGCATCTCCAATCGGATTTAAAGAAATGCAATCTGGTAACTGCCATGCCTAGCAGTGAGGTACCATTGTAGATTGTTTACTTTGTCTTATTTACTCCGCAGAATGTACGGCCAGAGGGCACCCATGTGACGACCCTTTGGCCCCGAGTGCCAGGAGAATTGATGACATTTGCACACAGTGACTCACACACTATGCCCAGTGAAGATATCTTCTCTGTTTGCTGGAGGAAGACAACAGTCGCTCTGTCTACTTCTGCCAGGAGGAGTTAACCAGTTGCGAGCGATGTTGCACAGTCACTGGGCCAGACAATACTTGGCACTGTGTGTATTTATATTATTATTGTGCAGTGTGATTCATAACAATTGTGATTCATTACGTTTGTGGGGAGCGTTGGAGCAGTGGCTCCCGCGCCACGCTATGATCCCCGGCGACCCGAGTTCTATTCCCGCTCACAGCCTCAACACCGGTGACGAATATCTGAACCGGTCACGGGCCTCCCCCCTAGGTTGACTCAGCCTTGAAATGCATCGGCCATCTTCAGGAAACTGCAGGAAGTCAGAATGACAGTGTCACCTGATCCGGCTTCTTCACTAGGTGCCCATGAATTAATTGGGCAGTGACTTGGCCCAGCGGCAGCGCCTTGTAAGACTGGTTAAAGAGGTTCACGGTTCAAGTCCAGAAGGCAGCCCTGGTTAATATTGCGGACGCATCGTCTACAAAACACTATGGCCAAAATTTTCCCAATATGGAAATTCAGCCACAAAACACTCAATTGGGAAATGCACAGCAATATCGCCCCGACTGTTAAACGACCGCAGACCGTGTCTGCGAAACGCTGCGGCACCTTCCTTGGCAACGATCGCCCTGCGCTACGAGGACGGCAGCGCGCGTACCAAACGGTGCCAATGACGTGATTTGACGGCACTGAATGACAGCAGAAGCAGCAGCAGCAGTATCAAGCGGGTAAGCAGACGAAGAGGAGCGCAGGATCGTTACCATATCTGCAGCTTGATCTTTTTTCCGTCGAGGTCTATTGTGCGGATTTTGAAATCAATTCCTGGTGGACACAAAACAGAGCGCGCGCGCCTCGTTAGACAGCGGGCAACGATCATGTGGTGGGTAGCGCGGCGCCCTCCTGTAAGCGCCGCCGCCGCGTCTCGGAGCGCGCTGCACGTGCACGATCGGCGACTTACCGCCGCATCCCATCTCACTCGCATTCAATAGGGGGGCAACAACCCCCCGCGGCAGCTGTTCCTGTGTGGCCCATGGTGACTCGGCACCTTGCCTGCAAGCAGGAATTAGTCGGCCAGTTGGGGGCGATGATCGGTGATGTGTGTGTGATCCCCATTCAGTAATTAGCTAATGACGACACGGGTCCTTTAACGTCCACCGTGATGCAGACAGCCCGTCTTAGTATTATTCCTGTAACGGTTGTTAAACACCGCAGGAATAACCAGGGCGGCCGCTGGGTTTGAACCGCGAACCTTTGCGACAAGCGGAGAACGCGTTCCCCCGCTGCGTCGCCGCCGTGCCGGGCACGGGGAAACTGGGAGCACGGCAGACAGAGGAGCGATGGGACGCAGCCTGATGTGACCAGTGAAGTGGTCAGAGTACAAACCGCCAAGTGAGTCAGTGGAGGAACCCCACAATGCACACTCAGCACACACACACACACGGACATTCCCACTGACAAACAACAAATATAGCTTTTACGTGACTTTTGGGGCAAGTCTTGTTTGCGAGCACGTATGAAGGCCGGCACACTAGACGAGGGGGTGGGTGGCCAGCACCACACCCGGCCGCCTTTGTCTCCCCAGTGGTGATGTTTTCACATTGCACCATGTACTCAGTTGAGGCTGAGTCGACCTAGGGGAGGCACAAGACCGGTTCAGATAATTGTCACCGGTGTTGGCCGTGAGTGGGAACTGAACTCGAGCCATTGGGTTCGTCGTGTAGTGCGCTAACCGCTGCACTTATGCTCCCCCTGATGACGCACACACACACACGCGCACACACACACGCACACACACACGTGCACACATACAAAGACCAAAATCCCCCCTTATAGCCTTAACAGACTGTTGGGGCAACCGCTGTATGCGAGCACCTAATTCAGACCGTGATGAGGGTGCCGAGGCCAACGTCGCTGGAATTACGCACTCCCAGAGGGCCGTGTGGTTGACGAAATGCGTAATAGCGACTTTTTTTGTTACGACTGATACGTGAAGCCGGTGAATTGTCTCGCTTATTTAATTCGACGACCATGAATTCAGCTCGGGCGCAGGTGCTGGGTGAATGATTGACGTGGCGGGGTTGTGATCAGTGGACCGAGCATGGCTGGGGATAAATGCCAGATAATAGCCGGTTCAACCTTCGGATGGAACGCGTTGTCATGTCGCTCTCCCCTGCGCGTAGCTCACCGCCGAGTGACCTCACCAGCGGTGGATGCGAGGGTGGGCTCCTCGATACTGGACCTTGGACTCGCAGAGACACGCGCACACTAGCCCTGCCACCATTTGGGCGGGGTGTAAAGGCGGCGCAGCGGTGACACCTCGTGCCCCGCAGCAAGAAGGGCCTGGGTTCGACTCCCATCTCGGGCACCTCTCAGCATGGAGTTTGTATCTTCCCCTGTTCTGCGTGGGTTTCCTCAGAGTTGCCCGGTTTTCTCCCATAGATAAAACAAATAGATATACATGCATTGAAGCCGACATTGGCCAAACTACATCCCAATGCTGAGAAATCGCCTGCAAATTTCTCAATTGGGATCACATACAGCAGCAACATCGTCCCCCTACTGCAAAAACTTGGCAGGACCCTCCTGAAGACGAGTCTTGAGATTCTGTGAGGCTTTCCTGGGTAAACGAGTGGAAGTATAACATGAAACGATCTCCCAGACTAAAATATACAACTCTTGTACAGCATCTGCTATTGTGACAGCCAGAGTGCATTATATACGAACAGCAGTGGCATTTTTTGTGTGTTGGACTGTGTGCAATGTTCATTACACAAACGTACATACTGTATACGTTGCACATTTGAATCATTTGCATACGTGTCATTCCATGTTTGCTGTGTGAGTGCGCGTGTGTGTGAGTTGTATTTGTATGCGCGCGAGCGTGCATGAGTATGTGTACGTCCCTAGGTCGACTCAGCCTCAAATTAGTACCTGGTGAGGTGTGTAAACATCGCCACTAGGGAGACAAAGGCGGTCGGGCGTGATACTGGCCACCAACCCCCTCATATACCATGCCGGCCTTCATAGGTGCTCGCTCACAGCACTTGCCCCAACAGACTGTTGAGGCTATATAGAGGATCTTTGTCGTTGTCATTGCGGACTTGCGAGGTATGTGTCACTTTTTTTGGTTTGGCCATGTTTGTTTGTTGTAGTACTGAGTGAGACTGATGGCCTTAATCTAAGTTGTTGTTTGACTTGCATCCCACTGGGATTTTTGCACACAGTGTTGGTGTACGGTGCTTTTTCTTGGATTTTCTGCTTGCACATAGTCACATAGTCACTTTAAGATGTTTTTTGTTCATGTTTTTGTTTCTTGTTTGTTGCGGTTGCACCCGATTCAAGAGCCGATTGGCTCACAGGGCTATACCAAATAAATGAAACTGAAAACTTGACGCCCAGGACACGCTTGCAAATGAGATGTTTCATCTCAAGTGACGATCTTGGGGATGTGTGTAAATATATAGGACTCCGAACAACAACCTTTCAGACGAAACTATAATCTTCCTGACCTGACCAAGAGCTGTAATCAAACTGTTCAACGGAGCAAAGCAAAACCTTCCGGTCACTTGCCACGGGCAAAGTGTTGAGAGGGCTCTGTGTGTACGCACAAGAAATCGCAAACAAGAAAAAGACGCTCCAAAGTAATTTGCCATCATTACTGAAGAAAGCGCCAAGGGTCAGAAGTGACCGGTACTGCTGTGACCCCGCACAGCGGGGGGGGGGGGGGGGTGTACGGGGTCACATCAAAGACAAAGATCCCCCATACAGCCTGTAACAGACTGTTGGGGTAAGTGCTGTTAGCGGGCACCTATGTTGGCTGCAACGGTACACGAGGAGGTGGGTGGCCAGCACCACGCGCGACCACCTTTGTCTCCCTAGTGGCAATTTTTTTTTACACACCGCACCAGGTACTCATTGAAGGCCGAGTCGACCCAGGGGAGGCCCATTACCGGCTCAGACAATCGTCACCGGTGTTGGCCGTGAGCGGGAATCGAACTCGGGTCGCCGGGTTGGTAGCGCAGCGTAGCGCTAACCGCTGCACCACCGCTCCCCAGGGTGGTCACAGGAGCGCTGCGACAGCTGTTTTCCCATTGCCTCGGCAAAAGATCTTGGAGACGATCTAATGTCGGGCGAATAACAAAAATAACAGATCCGTCCCCCCACCTACAACATCCTATCGGGTGCCACGGACTTAATAAGAGCGCAGAATTCCTGCAGCGGTGGTTCCACGCAGCCAGCCGAACTCTGGACCGATTTCCAAAGTCAAGTGTCTCACTTGGCATTCAGCGCGACACTGAACCCATGCTGGTGGAACTGCCAAACGTTTATAGGCAAAGGAGCGCCCTCCCTGCTAAATATGATGGGTCCCAGTGCATTCGTCATGCTGTATAATACTTAACACGACGTCATCATTAGCGTTGTCGTGAAGACTAAACGTGGTTAAGGTCAGCTGTTTAACGTGGTTCGCCTGGGCCCTGAAGTACGGAATTAATTAAAAGCCACCGCCGCCCACACTTAAGCATATCTTAGAACGTTAGTATGCCGGGACAAAGTCCAGCCAGACTTCAACACGTACCTCGACCCCCAGAGACAAAGATTCCCCGTATAGTCCTTACCAGACTGTTACGGCAAGTGCTGTTAGCGAGCACCTATTAAGGCCGGCACGGCACACGAGGGGGTGGGTGGCCAGGACCACGCCCGGCCGCCTTTGTCTCCCCAGTGGCGATGTTTACACATCTCACCCGGTACTCATTTGAGGCTGAGTCAACCTAGGGGAGGCCCAGGACCAGTTCAAATATTCGTCACTGGTGTTGGCCTGTGAGCGGGAATCGAACTCGGGTCGCCGGGTTCGTAGCGCAGCGCTAACCGCTACCGACCCCCACTCCACACACACACGAAACAGAACTTTCATCCGCACAAAAACCCCCACAAACGTATTCTCTCTCATCACCAGCCGCCACTCACCGCCGGTGACGGCAATGATAGCTCCAGATTGAAGGCGACCAAGCCGGAGGTGCGTCCACCCTCAGTTTCACTTCCTCTCCCCACTCTCACCCACCCACACATCCACCACAGACACCAACAACCAGGCCAGGCTTCACCATCAAGCGCCACCCCACCACGCGATTTGTTCTGAACATTACCAGGCCGGGGCAGCGTTCATCCACCACTTTACGACCCCCCCCTCCACCCTCACTCACACTCAGACCCACAAATTAACTTGCGTCCATTGACAACCACCGTGCCACCCCCCAATCTCTCGCCACCAGCTAACCAGCTGTGGCGGAGACGGTTTAATTCACTTACTTTGAACGTTACCAGGCCGGGACCAAGTTCGTCCAAAGTTTTGCTTAACCTCTGACTCACTCACCAACACTGCACATCCATTGTCCTCTCTCTCTCTCTCTCCCACACAAGCGCCTCTCGCCATCGGCCAGCCAAGGGCAGTTTAAATCCACTTACTTTGAACGTTACCAGGCCGGGACAAAGTTCATCCAAAGTTTCGCTTAACCTCACAAAACTCGCCCACCAATAACTTACAACGCCCATTTGGTCTCACACACCACCACCATCACTCGCTATGGACCAACCAACAGCAGTTTAAACCCACTTACTTTGAACAATCCCAAGCCGGGGTCGAGTTCATCCAAACTTTAACTCACCCGCCCTGCCCCACCGACACCGCCGCCGCCGCCATACAGCGATCGTAACCCCGAACAACCGAGGACCAAGATGCGACCTCCACGCGATTCCCTGGCCGACCGGCCGCGACCCACCGATGGTGGAAATGAACGTGGAGTTGAAGGCGTCCTCGGAGAACCTGAAGAGCACGCAGGTCTTGCCCACGCCGCTGTCCCCGATGAGCAGCAGCTTGAAGAGGCAATCGTAGCTCTTGGCCATGTTGCCTTCTCTGTCGCACGCCCACCAACAGCGCGAGCCTCCACTTCCGGGTGGCGCGTGACGTCACGCGGGGCGTGGTCACTCGAGGGGCGTGTCAGGTCAGAGGGGTTTTACCTCTAGATTATAACACAGGGTCAGTGTCAGTTCAGAGGGTTTTACCTCTAGATTATAACACAGGGTCAGTGTCAGTTCAGAGGGGTTGACCTCTAGATTATAACACAGGGTCAGTGTCAGTTCAGAGGGGTTGACCTCTAGATTATAACACAGGGTCAGTGTCAGGTCAGAGGGGTTTTACCTCTAGATTATAACACAGGGTCAGTGTCAGGTCAGAGGGTTTTACCTCTAGATTATAACACAGGGTCAGTGTCAGCTCAGAGGGTTTTACCTCGAGATTATAACACAGGGTCAGTGTCAGTTCAGAGGGGTTGACCTCTAGATTATAACACAGGGTCAGTGTCAGTTCAGAGGGGGTTTACCTCTAGATTATAACCCAGCATCAGTGTCAGCTCAGAGGGGTTTTACCTCTAGATTATAACACAGGGTCAGTGTCAGGTCAGAGGGGTTTTACCTCTAGATTATAACCCAGCATCAGTGTCAGGTCAGAGGGTTTTACCTCTAGATTATAACCCAGCATCAGTGTCAGGTCAGAGGGTTTTACCTCTAGATTATAACACAGCATCAGTGTCAGGTCAGAGGGTTTTACCTCTAGATTATAACACAGGGTCAGTGTCAGGTCAGAGGGTTTTACCTCTAGATTATAACACAGGGTCCGTGTCAGTTCAGAGGGTTTTACCTCTAGATTATAACCCAGCATCACTGTCAGGTCAGAGGGTTTTACCTCTAGATTATAACCCAGCATCAGTGTCAGCTCAGAGGGGTTTTACCTCTAGATTATAACCCAGCATCAGTGTCAGCTCAGAGGGGTTTTACCTCTAGATTATAACACAGGGTCAGTGTCAGGTCAGAGGGGTTTTACCTCTAGATTATAACCCAGCATCAGTGTCAGGTCAGAGGGTTTTACCTCTAGATTATAACCCAGCATCAGTGTCAGGTCAGAGGGTTTTACCTCTAGATTATAACACAGCATCAGTGTCAGGTCAGAGGGTTTTACCTCTAGATTATAACACAGGGTCAGTGTCAGGTCAGAGGGTTTTACCTCTAGATTATAACACAGGGTCCGTGTCAGTTCAGAGGGTTTTACCTCTAGATTATAACCCAGCATCACTGTCAGGTCAGAGGGTTTTACCTCTAGATTATAACCCAGCATCAGTGTCAGGTCAGAGGGTTTTACCTCTAGACAATCACCCAGCATCAGTGTCAGCTCAGAGGGGTATACCTCAGTTTAACACGTCGGCTTTCGCGACCAATATTATTCATAATAAAGGTTTTTGGGTTCGATCGCGTAAATAGAAAATTTTAAAAACCCTCCACCACCAATTAGTAAGGGATTTGTCACGTAAACAAAACGCCAAATAGTTACTACTTGAGCCCACCGGTGTGTTGGAGAGTAACTCCACATTTACAACGTGAGGAGTAGTACGACGTTTCGCTGGTAATTACAACAACCAGCATCATCGGGCGATTTGCCAGAATAGTGAAGCAATCCACCTGCTTCCGGTCTTAAATAGAGCGGTGTCAGGTCAGAGGGGTTTTACCTCTAGATTATAACCCAGCATCAGTGTCAGCTCAGAGGGGGTTTACCTCTAGATTATAACACAGGGTCAGTGTCAGGTCAGAGGGGTTTTACCTCTAGATTATAACCAGGACCAGTGCCAACTCAGAGGTTTTTTTACCTCGAGATAATAACCAGGACCAGCTCAGAGGGGATTTACCTCTAGATTATAATCCAGGACGAATGCCAGCTCAGAGGTTTTTTACCCTCTAGATTATAACCCAGGACTAATGCCAGTTCAGAGGTTTTTTTACCTCTAGATAATTACCAGGACCAATCTCACACACAGAGAGGATTAAATAGAGCGTGGAGTGGATTGAGTACACAACACGGAGTGGATTCCATACAAAACGTGGAGTGGATTAAATACAACACACGGAGTGGATTCAATACAAAACACGGACTGGAGTCCCAAGTGAATGTCCCCTAACGTTACCCAACTCTATTCACACAACATGGTAGTATACTAACACAGCCCAGCACGGTATTATGCTGTTATATTGTATTAGCATGAGATATGATAGAGTATAGCACAGAGCGATAATTAGAGCGACTGTGACCCGAGCCGAGGCCGGGTGAGGCCGCGCACGCTGATGGCGTCACGTCACAACAAGCCCCGCCCCGCGACTCTGGGGGACACCACGTGGGTGCGAGTTGAGCCGAGACCCGGAGCCGGAGCGCAGTGGTAGAGTATCAGCTGTAGAGCCAGGAGAGAGTCTCAGCTCTAGAGCCAGGAGAGAGCCTCAGAGCCAGGAGAGAGTCTCAGCTGTAGAGCCAGGAGAGAGTCTCAGCTGTAGAGCCAGGAGAGAGTCTCAGCTGTAGAGCCAGGAGAGAGTCTCAGCTCTAGAGCCAGGAGAGAGCCTCAGAGCCAGGAGAGAGTCTCAGCTGTAGAGCCAGGAGAGAGTCTCAGCTGTAGAGCCAGGAGAGAGTCTCAGCTGTAGAGCCAGGAGAGAGTCTCAGCTGTAGAGCCAGGAGAGAGTCTCAGAGCCAGGAGAGAGTCTCAGCTGTAGAGCCAGGAGAGAGTCTCAGCTCTAGAGCCAGGAGAGAGCCTCAGAGCCAGGAGAGAGTCTCAGCTGTAGAGCCAGGAGAGAGTCTCAGCTGTAGAGCCAGGAGAGAGTCTCAGCTGTAGAGCCAGGAGAGAGTCTCAGCTGTAGAGCCAGGATAGAGCCTCAGCTGTAGAGCCAGGAGAGAGTCTCAGCTGTAGAGCCAGGATTAGAGGCCCTCATAGGTGCTACTCGCTGACAGCACTTGCCCCAACATTCTGCTCAGGCTATACGGGGGATCTTTAGCTTTGTCTAACTTTTTTGGCAACGTGCCTAAGACCCACCGTGCTGATCCAAGTTGCAGGGGAAGGAGACCAACACACAAAAATCGCTTCTAGACAAATGGGTTTGTCAATCTAGATGATAGACGATTTAAAAGTGCATTTCTCCCAGCGGCTTGCTAATATCGGTGGAACGTTCCAGACGGCCGCAGAAGCTCATCCAGACGCGACGCGAGTGACCGTCTTCGTCCGATGGCCAGCAGCCAAACGCCGCTTTTAGTATCAGCGCTGAGCGCCCGCGGGTCGTCACCGAGGCCGCCACAGTAACTCGGGGGGCTCCTGGTCCCAATGTCTCCCCAACTCCTCCTCCTCCTCGCCGCCCTCGTCTCCGTCGCCTCGGCGCTCCTCTCGGCCCTCTGGCTCCGACGCCGGGGACCCGCGGCCGCCGGGGGGCCTCTCCCCCCCGGCCCGCGGGCGTGGCCCCTCGTGGGGGGGCTGCCCGCGCTGTGGTGGGAGACCCGCAAAGGTGAGGGGGGGAGGGGGGAGGAGGGGGGGAGGGGGGTGGGGGGTAGAGGGGGGTGGAGGGGGGTGGAGGGGGGTGGAGGGGGGTGGAGGTGAGGGGGGTGGAGGGGGGTGGAGGTGAGGGGGGTGGAGGGGGTGGAGGTGAGGGGGTGGAGGGGGGTGGAGGGGAGGTGAGGGGGGTGGAGGGGGGTGGAGGTGAGGGGGGTGGAGGGGGGTGGAGGTGAGGGGGGTGGAGGAGAGGTGAGGAGGGGGGTGGAGGGGTGTGGAGGTGAGGGGGGTGGAGGTGAGGGGGGTGGAGGGGGGTGGAGGTGAGGGGGGTGGAGGGGGGTGGAGGTGAGGGGGGTGGAGGGGAGGTTAGGGGGGTGGAGGGGGGTGGAGGTGAGGGGGGTGGAGGTGAGGGGGGTGGAGGTGAGGGGGGTGGAGGTGAGGGGGGTGGAGGGGAGGGGAGGGGGGTGGATGGGGGATGGAGGGGAGGGGGGGAACCCACGTGGCCCCCACTACCCTCGCCGTGACGATTATCGCGATAACCACGACTTTGTCAATTTCTATCATCGATTTTTGGTTGGTGGCGCCTTGACTTCGGGGGTAGTTTGACGCAGTTGCCCCGTTACCAGGTCGACTTTTACCAAGTTACCGACTGTTTGACATGGTGCCCTGTTGCCCTGACAGCGGCAGGTGTGCTTAGTTACCAATGGACGTGGTGGCTTCACGCAGTTACCCACCGACTGACTTGCTGCCCCGTTTCCATGGCACCAAGCTCTGCGTTACTTAGCTACCGGTGCCCCGTTGCCAGGGCAACCGCGAGGTATTGCTTCGTGTAGTTTACCGTTCGACGCGGTCCCCCGTTGCCACGGCAGCCGCGAGGTATTGCTTTGCGTAGTTACCGTTCGACGCGGTGCCCCGTTGCCACGGCAACCGCGAGGTATTGCTTCACGTAGTTACCGTTCGACGCGGTGCCCTGTTGCCACGGCAGCGGGAGGGCTGCTGCACGTTGCGCTGGAGATGCTGGCGCGTCGCCATGGCGACGTGATGAGCATCGCCACGGTCGCTGGCCGCCCGCCCGTCGTGGTGTTGAGCAGCGCCACCGCCGTGAGGGAGGCGCTGGGCCACCACCCCGAGGCCCTCGCCGGCCGCCCGGACCTGCCCCTCGTCCGCCTCGTCACCCGGCGCAAGGGTGAGGAGAGGCCCCCACCCCCCTCTTCCCAGTGGCAGCTGCCCCTCGTGCAGCAAGAGCGTGCATAGTGCAGGCGTGCGCGTGGGTGTATCGATACTTGGACTCGCACAGAGACCATCGATAGATGTCGCTTACAGAGCCACTGAGAGCTCACGGGGATGTGTCGACTTAGCCGTACGCCGATTACTTAACGGTGAATCAGGAGACACGTGTGCAGAATGTGATTCTCGTCAGGCCCCAATGCTGTGAACAGGTGCAGTCTCCAGCTCTTAGCGGCGTCCACTCTGTCTCTCTGGCCTCCCTATGAAGAAGGGGTATTGCCCAAAGCGTCACCTATTTATGTTTCCTTGTAAGGCTACACACACGGTGTAGTTGAGTAGTGATTGTGTGAGTAAATGCGGAATGAGTGAGTGATTTGGTGGGGAGTGACAGTGTCGTGGTGAGCACGCTGCGCGAATAACCCGAGACAAGTGATGATGATGTCAGAACCAGTCCTGGGCCTCCCCTAGGTCGGCATCGCCATCGTGGCATAAGAATGGTGGACGATCGAGAGTAGAGGCGCAGGGGTGGCAGAGCAGATGGAGCTGAAATAGTCTAGCCTTTGTGATGGGAGTGTTGTTAGGCGAGTGGTTGTTGGTCATGTTGTGGTGGTGGTGGCGGCCTCTCTCGCCGAATCGCCCCACACCGTAGGCATCGTGTTCGCTCCCCTGGGGGCCACGTGGCAGCGCCACCGCCGCTTCTCTCACGCGGCGCTGCGCCGATTCGGAGCCGGACTCGCAACCGCAACAACCGGATCCAGATCCGAATCTTGCTCCATCCCCTCCCCCGGCCCCACCTCCCCCTGGCTGCTGGAGACACGTGTGGAGCGGGAGGTGTCGAGTCTGCTCCGCACGCTTGCATCGCGTTCGGGGGGGGCGGCCGCCCCCTTCTCCCCGGCGTCGCTCATACACGGCGCCGTCGCCAACGTCATCTGCGGCCTCTGCTTCTCCCGCCACTACCACAACCATGACGACGACGACGGCGGCGGCAGCGGTGGCAAGGACGACGATGAAGGCTGCGCCGGATTCCGCCGTGCCCTGCGGTTGATGGTGCGCGGCATGGAGCTGGCGTCCAACAGCCCGGCCATGCTGATCAACCTCGTGCCGGCGCTCCGCTTTCTGCCGTGCGGTCCGTTCCGGGAGCTCTTCTCCACCGTGGACGAGGTGTCCCGCTTCCTCAAGGTCCGGAGAGCCCCGCCGAGTCTCGCGACGGTCTTGTCAAGGGGGTCCTGCCAGTGCCGCTGCGTGGTCTAGCCTGGGGCACCTCCAGTGGCAGCTGTCTCTGCGCATTAGTCTGCCAGTAAAGGGGGAGGGTGGCGATGATTGCTGTGCGGTCCAGCCGAGGGGCACTCACCCACACTCGCTTACCCACATACTCACCTCTTCACCCACCCACTAACCCAATAGAAGACACCTAGCAATTATAGGAAACCCTTATCTTTATACGTGACTTTACCGAAAGAACCAAAGAATAATTCCTGCAGTCACGAAAGCTCCAAAATTAAGATAGGAAACCCTTTTTGGCCAAGGGAAGACACAAACCATGTGCTGAAACTATTCGCCTCACCCACTATAAACCCACCCACATGGCCATTGTGAACCCACCCACTGACACGGCCATTGTGAACCCCCGCCTCTCCAAGGGGATAATCCGTGAGCACGAGGAGACCCTGGATCCCGCAAACCCCCGCGACTTCATCGACGCTTTCCTCGTCGAGTCCCGCGGAGGCCACGACGACGACGATGAGGAGGGAGGAGGGGAGGCCCCGGGAGGGACCCGGGGAGTGCTGGATGCCGATGACCTCTTCTACATCGTCGCCGACCTCTTCATTGCCGGGACCGACACGACGGCCAACACCCTGCTGTGGGGCCTCCTCCTCATGTGCACCTACCCGGCCGTGCAGGGTGAGCGGGTGGGCGAGCGGACGGGCGGGCGAGCGGGTGAATGAGTGGGCGGGTGAACGAGTGGGTGGTTGCATGAGTCGGCAAATGCGCAGGTGGGTGGGTGAATGAGTGGGTGTGTGTGAGGAGTTAGAGACGCTTCTGTTGAAACTGGAGTGTGCCACTAAGAGGTGAGGCCTTACCATCAGCCCCACCAAAACGAAGTACCTGCCTGGGTATTTTGTACCATCGGACACTCTACCCCCACAACTCCCAATCGGTGATGGGGCAGTTGTGGAGAGTTTCCCATACCTGGGCAGTGTGCTCATGACCGGCTCCAGTTTGGCAGCGGAAGTCTCACTCCGAATCAGTCGAGCGGCATCTTTTCATCGGTTGCGTAACGCTGTGTGGAAGCTGCCTGGTCTGTCGCTCCGCACGAAGCTTCAGGTCTTCTCGGCCACAGTCATTCCCTCCCTTCTCTACGCTTGCGAAACGTGGACCCCCCTAATGGGGCATCTTCGCTGGTTAGAAACATTTAGCCTGGCCTGCCTATGATCCATCCTGGGTTTAACCAGGCTGGATTGTGTGAGGAGCTCACAAATCCTTGAAAGATCTGGGCAAAGTCCCATCGGTGAGCTCCTCCGGCAGGCAAGGCTGCGTTGGCTGGGTCATGTAGCCTGCATGCCCAGCCACCGCATGCCTAAACAGCTTTTGTTCGGCCGGATCGAGGGGGCTAAACGGGCGTGATGTGGTACAGGAGGACGTGGAGCTGAGAGGACTTGCCGATGACTGGTATCAGCGGTGTCAAGATCGGCCTCAGTGGAGGAGGCTCATGAAGGATGCTACTGGGCAGTTGGAGGCAGTTGCCCTCCAACAACAACGGAGGGCGGAGGAGCGACGCTCACAACAACGAGCAGAGCGCCGGGTGGCTAAAGCACAGCAAGTTGGCACAGTATGGGGCACAGGTGGTGCATCAGCCAGTCATCTGCCCCGCGACCTCCTGCCAGCGGGCGTTCGACACTTCACGTGGCCTCAAGGCGCACATGGCCTGGCACAAGCGTCGTGGTGACATCACTGCCACTTAGTGGCGAATGGCGGTTGTTGTTGTTGTGTGAGTAGGCAGGTGAATGAAAAGTTGAGTGGATGAATAAGTGGGTGAATGAGAGCGAGCACATTGGTTGGTGAACAAATGCTTGAGTGGGTTGGTGAACGAATGGGTGAGTGGATGGCTGAGTGAGTGGGTGGCCGAGTGAAGGGGTGGCCGAGTGAAGGGGTGGGTGAGTGAAGGGGTGGGTGTGCTGGCGAGGCAGCGTCTCCATGTCCCCACATCTCAGCGCGCGTGCAGGCCGAGCTGGACGCAGGTGGTCGGCCGTGGATGCCGTGTGTCTCTGAGCGATCGCCCGCGCCTCCCGTTCACCGTCGCCACCATCATGGAAGTGCAGAGGCTGAGTTCCGTGGTGCCGCTCGCCATCCCCCACTCGGCCACCCGCTCCGTGCGTACGTATACACACACACAAGTGTGCATGTACACTGTGTATGTGTTTAGGTGTCTACGTTGCACTATGCTGCGAATCCGGCAAAGACTCGCATTTGATTCCTGCTCACAACCAATAACTGATATTTTAACCGGTCCTGGGTCTCCCCTAAGTCAACTCAGCCTCAAATGAGTACTTTGTGCGATGTGTATAAACCATCAGCATTGGGGAGACAAAAGTGGCTGGGCGAGCGTGGTGGTGCTGGCCGTGCCACCCCTACTCATGGGTGGCCTTCAAGGTGCTCGTTAACCGCACTTGCCCCAACAAGGCTGCATGGGGGATCTCTGTGCGTGGAGTGGAAGCGCAGTGGTTACCACACTGCACTAAATACCCGGCAAACACCCGAGTTCGAATTCTGCTCACGGCCACCAGCACCAGTGACGATTATTTTAACCGGTTCTGGGCCTCCCCTCGGTCGACTTAGCCTAAAAAAATCAGTTCCTGGTGCGGCATGTGCAAAACACCAGCACTGGGGAGATAAAGGTGGCCCGGCCGGCATAGTCGTGTTGGCCACATCACCCCCTCGCTAACGGCACTTGTCCCAACTGCACTGCGTGGGCTACACGGGGGAACTTTGTCTGTGCGCAGAGCTGCGGGGGTTCACTGTACCCCAGGGCAGCATGGTGCTGCTGAACCTGTGGGCGTGCCACGTGGACCCCCACGTCTGGGCCCGGCCACTCCTCTTCGACCCCGAGAGGTTCCTCGACCCCCACGGCCGCCTTCGCAGGAGGGACGCCTTCATGCCCTTCGGCATCGGTGGGTGCACCTAGCTTGGCACCGGGCAGTGTGGGTGACCCTCGGTATGGTGTAGCTAGTGTGGCACGTCAGTCCGAGTGAATAAGTGTGTGAGGGTATATGTGTGTGTGTGTGGAGTTTGTCTGTAACCTCTCTGTTCTGCGGAGTGTATGTGTGGAGTTTGCATGTTCCCCCGCGGTTCTGCGTGGGCTTCCTCCGTGAAAGTCCGTCACCCTGGCCGAATGACCTTCTCGTGTCTTGGTGCCTTCTTCAAGCGACCTCATGGAGAGATGCGCGATGGCTGTGACCCCCCCCCTCCCCTTCCCCGTGTCTGTGCTGCGTCTCTGCGCGTGTGCAGGTCGCCGTTCCTGTCTGGGCGAATCTCTCGCTCGCGTCGAACTCTTCCTCTTCTTCTCCGCACTCGTGCAAGAGTTCACCTTCCACAGCTCCGCCCCCCACAGCCCCGACTCCGCCCCACGAAGCCCTGTCCTCCAGGGCACCTTCGGGTTGACCTACGCCCCTCCACCTTTCACCCTCACCGCCGTTGCCAGGGCGGTTGGGGGAGCGGCCACGTGACCGCGGAGAACTGGACCATTCTTCACGGCTAGCGGTCACCGCTTCCTTCTGCCAGATTTTTCACAGGCTGCAAGTTCCCACGGCGTCACTTCCTGCCTCTTCCTCACCTCCCCGTGACATCAGCCCCCCCCTCCCACAACACCCTCACCGCCCTGTGATGTCACTTCTTCCCTCATCCTCACCTCCCACTTCCGATGACGCGGCACCATCGCATTGTGGCGTCATCGCGTCAATTTGTAAATATCGCCAGGGAAAAAGTTCTGAGTGTGGTTCGAACCCGGGCCACCTGCACTCAGAGAGCGTGGCCATGAGGACCCTGTTGCAGATCTGAACAAGTCGTCCTCTCGCTGCCTGGGCAAGCTCCGTCGCATTCATAACAAACAAAAAACTCGGATAATTTGAATTGTAATGCTGCGTGCAGTTTTCGTTTGGTCTCAGAGAACGATTGAGGGATTGATTCAGAGTGAGTGATTCAGAGGGAGAGAAATATTCAGAGGCTGCACGGTAAACCGCACGGTAAACCGCACGCAAGAGGGGAAGGCAAAGCCAAAACCGTCGCTAACAACAATTGCCCACGTACTGTGATCCTCTATTTGGGATGTTTCCATTCAATGCGTGTTTTTAACATGCGGGAGTTAAAATGGAGCACCCAGAGAAAACCCCAAACGTGCCGGGCCGAGTGGAGAACGGAGGCTGTGGCGGCAGTGCAGACGCTGTCCCACCAGATGCACCCAGCTGGTAGACTAACACTGCGGTGAACCCATGGACGCAGCTGCTGGTGCTGCTGGGTGGTGAGTGGGTGGTGAGAGATCGGTGGGTGGGAGTTGATACAATTCCCCCCCCTCCATTGTTTAAACAACTGTCGCACCGGGAGATCGAAGTCGAACGGTGACTTCTGGGATCGAAGTTCAGTGGCGTGCTGCTGACCACTACACCCCCACCGTGGCAGCTCGCAAGCCGTCCCCCTCGTTATCTATGGGGTAATTATGGCGGGTTGTTGTTGTTGCTGCTACGGACACTTCCATACGTGCGGCAAACCCGGTTTTGTTGAATGTGTACTCTGCTGAACTTCTTTGGCATCGTACGCAGCCAACCATGCGAATCGGAGGTGCGGTGAAGGGCAACAATGCGGCAGCCACAAAAGGCAAAACATAAAACCGGTTTCAACAACCATGAATGATACGTGATCGGTGGTGGCAGCGGCTTTAAATCCATATGGCAATCTAGAGCGATATCGAAGACTCGCTGACCATAAACAATGTCGGTTTCCATCGACCAACCGGCGAGCGAGAACGAATTTGACAATTGGTGGTTAACACATTGTTGTTCGTTATTCACGCATTTATTTTTCAGAAACGTGTTGGGTCAGGCAAGGGTGGGGGGTGGAGATACTCGTTTGCGACAAAAGTCAACAAGGCTGGGTACAGTAGCTAACCAAGGGTTGATAAACCACTACTCTCGGGCATGGGTCGGGAACCTTCGGCTCCGGAGCCGCATGCATCTGATTTAAATGTATTCCAAATCAGAGGACCAGTCATCAAATAGGCACCTCCAGTCAGTACGATTGGCTTCGTACGGTGCGAAAAGACGTTCAACATGCAACTTGACAATTGGTCTGAAGACTACTTAATACTTGTGACTGTACTGAAAGACTCAAAGAATACTTGATACTGTTTATGCAAATGAAAATAAACATGAATCGATGGCTGAATACAGAATTTAAGTTTGCAAGGCATGAGCCGGTGCACAATCTGAACCTTATGGTGGTACCCCGGCTCTCGCGTAATATCCGTGATGCAGTCATTTTTAATCTGTTGCTGGTCGGTGATGCGGGAATCGACTCATCTTTACGAGCTTGGACACGATGCACCACTACGGCGCGTACGAGCGTTCAGGGTTTCAGCGCAATCGTCCTCGGAGTAGCACCGATTTCGGATTGATTGGTACCCCAGTCGCAGAGTTAAGTACACCCCTGGAAAAAAGTACTGTCCCAGAAATAACATCTTTAATTGCCTCGGTCATTTTGTATTATTTGGTACCCTGGGGTACCGCCATAAGGATCATTTGCGTTCATGAAAAGGTAAAAAAACGCAATAAAGGCGATCAGCTTTCAGTGTTTGCAAGAGCCCTTTGCATGTCCGTGGCTTCATTTGATTTTTCACCTACTAGCCAGTTTCACTTCGATCAGAAGCTCATCAATGCAACACGGTTACAAACACCCCAAGCATCGCCCGCTTGCCTCCCAGATAGCAAGCAGCTGGTTTTCGCCACTCATTGGCGACCGTCGCCGGCGACGTACACCGGCACGTGGCTCGGCGGCAGCGTCTCGCGGCCCCGCGCGAGGTCGGCCACTTTCTCCGCCACCATGATGGTGGGCGCGTTGGTGTTGCCGCTGGGCACGCTCGGGAACACCGACGCGTCGACCACCCGCAGGCCGCTCACCCCTCGCACGCGAGCGAACTCGTCCACCACCGCGGCGGCATCATCCTCCCGCCCGCCCATGCGGCACGTCCCGCAAGGGTGGTAGGTCGTCTCGGCTTGGGTGCGAACCCACGCGTCCACCTCCGCCGCCGTCTTCACCCCGGGTCCCGGCGCGACCTCTCCACTGCGAAAGGGTTCCAAGGCGCGCTGCGAAACGACGTCTCGGGCGACTTCCACGCAGCGCCGCATCTCCCACACGTCTCTGTCTGCGGTTCACGTGGGCGGCAGCAGCAGCAGCACCAACTTCATCAACCGATTTAGGATGTATGTTGAACTTATTTTGCACCGTACGTAGCCAACCGTACCAACTGGAGGTGCACCGGGGGGGAAGGATAACTTAACACAAAAATTAGTTATAAAAGATATTTGTTTTTCATTTAGATTTTCAATCTAGATTTAGGGCACAATTCCTGAGGGTTCAACGCCAATGTCGGATCATCCAGCGGCAGCATGGCGGAAACACCCACATCCACTATTTTTTGCCCTTCGCAAATGGGCTGCCATGCCTCCCTCACCTGTGCTCAGGTAGTTGGGCTGGATCAACGGTGCATCCAGGGGATTGGTGGACTTCAGCTCCACCCACCCGCGGCTCTGCGGCCGCAATGCACACACGCTGACCTGGTGACGATAACGGAGGACGCAAGTTAACTTTTCGTCGAGTCTCAAGATGTATTTTCAATAACTATTTAACGCATTTTTTTTATTTTACCAGGTAAGGCTCATTCCTATTCAGGCAAGGCTCACTGAGCTATACAGCTCTTTTTCAGACGTGACCTGGCCACAATTGCTAGCTCAACAAAGTGGCTTATCAAGCGGAAATGTATTGCAGCCAAATACTCTAAACAAACAAAGTTGATTTTAAATGTAGAGAGAAAAACTGGAGGACCCCGAGGAAACTCCACAAAACCACGGGATGGAACCCACGACCTCCTGCATACTAGGCGAGGTAGTTAACATTTCCGAGCCACCGTGATGATGTTGAGAGAGAGGCGCAAACTCCAAATATACAGCACGCATCTTCAGCATCGGAATCGAATTCGCCAACTTGGTGCCCCTAGGATCCGACCTGCCACCTTGTGTTCGGGAAGCTCACGTTGAGGTGGCAGTGCTCAGGGGAGGCAACGCAAAGTGTTGGCTTGGGCCCTGGTGGAAAGAATAAACCGCCGCCCACCCCCCCCAGTCCAATTTGCCCCCTCATCGTAGCTATGCTGTCGAGGGGAGTATCACAGTGGCCATTTGCATCAGTTAAATTCATGATACAGGGCTCCACCGTGGTAGCGTGGAGATTCTACAGCACCTGGAAGGCCTCCATGGTGGAGTTTTCTCGGAAGTGGTTGATGACTTCGCCCGGTATGAAGTGGAACTGGAGGTCCGGGTGTCGAACCCCCGGCTCTGAGCGAACGAAACCGCCCGTGTCGATGTGGGCGGTGACTGCTGGACCTGGACATGGGGACACAGAGACACACGGGGACGTGAGGACACGGGAGATGCAGAGACACGAGGACACTTGGGGACACGGATGCGGAGACACACAGGGGCACGGAGACACGAGAAGACAGGCGAGGGGACACGGCGACAGACCAAGACGGAAGGACGCAGGCACACGGGGAAAGAAGTACACAAAGGACAAATCATCATTCCCATCATCCAAGGGCATGGGGACAGACTGGACATAGCGACATAATGAGATATGCACAGGTACATGGGGATGCAGGGACATGGGAATGTGAGGATAAAGGGACACAGGGATATGGAGGATCCAATCAAAACCATCAACCAGCCATACCAAGAAGATTTCCAAAATCATGAACACAAGATCCAGGTCCGATTTAACACAGTACATACAATTTGTGATCTGATCCCATCTGTGAAGGACAAGATTACTGACATGCAATATCCCGGCATCTACAAACTAAGCTGTATCTGCAGCAGCAGTTACATTGGGAAAACTAAGCGACATGTCTCGGACCGTGTTCGTGAGCACAAGGCAGATTTGAAACACGGTAGGACCAATACTTCTGCCGTGGTCGATCATTATTGTAATGCGTCTGGCTCACACGAAATTGATTTCTCAAAGACGATGGTACTTTGCAAGCTATCAACAAAGATTCGTTCATGAAGCCATCCATATACACAGACACAGACACTATTTCAACCGAGAGGAAGGTTCTAGACTCGGCAATCATTGCAAAGATGCCGTCAACCACTTTGTCAATCAACCTCCACCGTCAGCAGTGTGGTGTGTGGAGCGGGGTGCACGGATTTCTTGGCGGCCCTTTGCCGCATTGGCATTGCTGCCGCATTGGCGTTGCTGCCGCATTGGCGTTGCTGCCGCATTGGCGTTGCTGCCGCATTGGCGTTGCTGCCGCATTGGCGTTGCTGCCGCATTGGCGTTGCTGCCGCATTGGCGTTGCTGCCGCATTGGCGTTGCTGCCGCATTGGCGTTGCTGCCGCATTGGCGTTGCTGCCGCATTGGCGTTGCTGCCGCATTGGCGTTGCTGCCGCATTGGCATTGCTGCCGCATTGGCATTGCTGCTACATTGGCATTGCCGCTGCATTGGCATTGCTGCTGCATTGGCATTGCCCCTGCATTGGTATTGCTGCTGCTTTGGCATTGCTGCCCCGCCCATGCTACTGGTGCTGCTAATACTCTTGGGCTACGCCCATCTCCAAACCTTTATAAACAGTTTGCCTTTAGAGGCTGACCCCTTTTCCTGATGACGATCGCTTGTGTTGCGATCGAAACGTCGTGATATTTCTATTCACTTTTTTATTTTTATTTTTTTCTATCTCCGTACGGAGACGTTGAAGATGGTTTGGGATTGGATCAGGAACCGGCGGAGGGATGCGAGTGTTTCGCTGACGAGGCCTCGGGTGCGGTTGAGGTGCCTGGCAGCGGCATTTTGGATCGTCCGGAGCGTGGAGGCGAGGGATTTCGTGAGATAAGAGACAAATCGGTCGATGTGCGGAATTTTGGGAGATGTGGGATTTGGAGAGGTCGTGGAGACACCGTTGCAGCATCTGTCGTCCTATTTTTTCTCCTTTCGCGTGCGGCTGCTGACGTAGACTCAGAGCAACAGCTACAATTTCGCATTCAGGTGGTCAATCCCAGACAACAACCGGGTCAGCAGGAGCAGTCGAGAGTGTCATCACCGCGTCGTCTCCTTCGTAATCGCGGATCGGGGCATTGCGTCATGACACGTTGTACTACGGTCTGTCCTGGACGAGCGCAGTCGCACGCTCTCGTCCTATTGAACCGCGTTGCGGACAAGTGTCCACCCTCCTCACCTGTAGACGTCAGCATCCACGCCAGCGCCGTGCGGATCATGTTGTGTGGCTTCTGGGCGGTGTAAGCCGTCAGGGGCTGCGTGCACCTCTGCTTAATGTTCATACTCAGGTGGTCCTGCAGGTTGCGACCCACGCCTATACGCCCGCCGGGGTGGTGGGGGGAGGAATGAGAGGGAAATCATCATCCCATTCAATTTACAACAACAGCCCATGACCAAACTGCCCAGAAGGCACGTGAACTCATCGGCTCTCCGAAGCTAAGCAGTGCTTGAGCCTGGATAAATACTTGGATGGGCAACCACCGTACATAAAACGGGCCTACTGCATGGCTACGTAACGAAGAAAAAAACGTATCGTTGTACTGTACTTCTATACTCCCACAGCTATGCTCGCTGCTTTCACTAACCTGCACTGACCAGTGTGGTGAAACATGGTCAAATAAAATCCGCCTGGTGGTGGGGATGTCCTCACCAAGCAACGGACTGACCTCATGGCTAGGTGTGTACATGTACGAAGCTCAATGTCGTCATTATCTTCAAGTTTTAAGTCAAGACAATTTTGTTTAACCGGGTTAGAACCCATAGGACCCCTCGATCCTATGGGTTCTCATTCGATATTCGGAAGCCACTGGACCTGTGCACTTTAAATATATTGAAAACTAATTTCTTTAGAACTGGTTTTTGTATTTGGTTTGTTGTCCTTCCCCCCGCACCTCCGATTAGCACCGTTGACTTCGTACGGTGCGAAAGAAGTTAAACAAACATAAATACATCTTGCAAGTGTTACCCGGGTCACCAAAACGACAAAATCAATCGCGTTAAAACAAAGTAGAACAATCGAGTGACTAGAAATCTGGACGAACACAAGAACCTGATTATGGAATACATCGAAAAGGGTGCGCCGACAAAAACCAAGGCGAACCCACCAGGGCTGTTTACCAGCACCGGGATCCCCACTTGCTTGAGGTGCTTCTCCGGTCCAATCCCCGACAGCAACAGCAGCTGGGGAGAGTTGATGGCGCCACCGCAGAGGATCACCTCCCGCTCGGCAAATACCTGGCAGCAGCAACGTGGGGCGGCATGGGGCGGCGGCAGCGGCAGTCACCAAAGGAGCCTTCATAATCAACGTTTTTGGGTTTAGATCGCGTTATTTATAAATGTGTCGTAACCCTCCACCACCCGACACGGCCAATCAGTAAAAATGTGTCACGTTGACAAAGACAAATAGTTCACTGCTTTAGCCCACCGGTGTGTTGAAGCCACAACATTTATTCGGAAGCCACTGGCTTCAACACACCGGTGGGCTAAAGCAGTTAACTATTTGTCTTTGTCAACGTGACACATT